GTAACAAACATACACGCGACAAGTCGTAATAATTATTTTATAACGTTACCTTGTTTTTCTGAATTTAATGATTCCGATAAAGTGAAATTATTTGTATATCGCTTTCATGACTATTTTGACGGTCTTATAGGATTGGACTTATTAAGTAAATGGGAGGCCCGTATAGATTTAAAAGAGGGACAATTAATAACGCATTCAGCATGTAATCCCATAAAATTATATAACTCGCGTAATGTTAATTTATACGAAGATATAATACCTGCACAGCTCTTCGAAAATTATTAGAGTTCCATTGGATACAAGGGATGGCGAAGCCTATATTACGGAACAGATTCTATGTAATTGTACTATTCACGAATGTGTTACTACTGTCGTCAATAATCGCGGTTATATTGAGGTAGAGAACCCAACGCCAAACGATATAATATTTTCACTCGACCGACCAGCCCACGCGGAATTATTTAATATTGAGTGCACACGTACCGAACAATTATCAGCACGTGCAAAAGACGTAGTTTCGCGATTACGTACAGACCACCTAAACGAGGAGGAAAAGGCTAATTTAGTAGCACTTTGCTTTTGCTGGACGTTTTTTACATAGAAGGTGAAAGCCTCACTTTCACAAATAGAATAAAACATCGGATTCGAACCACGGACGACGTACCAATACTACTACAAAAGCTATCGTTATCCATTCATACATAGACAAGAAGTTAAGGACCAAATAAGCAAAATGTTAGATCAGGGTATTATAAGACCTTCCGAATCGGCATGGAGCTCACCCATCTGGGTTGTGCCAAAGAAAGCAGATGCTTCTGGCAAACAGAAGTGGCTTGGTGGAAGTGGTTGACTTTCGCAAATTAAATGAAAAGACACTTGACGATAAATACCCTATCCCGAACATTAGTGATGTTCTTGACAAATTAGGGAAGTGTCAATATTTTACCACCTTAGACTTAGTAAGCGGATTTTATCAGATCGAAATGGACCCTCAGGACATAGAGAAAACCGCTTTTAATGTAGAGCATGGCCATTTCGAATTCCTTCGCATGCCAATGGGCCTGAAGAACAGTCCATCTACGTTCCAAAGAGTTATGGACAATGTCTTAAGGGGGCTACAAAATCATATATACCTTGTATAATAATATAATTAATAATATCTTGTATACCTAGATGACATAATTGTGTTCAGTACTTCACTCCAAGAACATATAGTTAACCTAAACAAAGTATTTAGTAGACTTCGTGAGTCCAACTTTAAAATCCAAATGGACAAATCGGAGTTTCTCAAACATGAAACGGCTTATCTCGGTCATATTATCACCAGGGACGGTATTAAACCAAACCCCGATAAAATATCGGCTGTACAAAAATATCCTATTCCAAAGAATCCAAAAGAAATTAAACAATTTTTAGGCCTTCCCGGTTATTACAGAAATTTCATTCCGGATTTCGCCCGTATTACTAAACCATTAACTCAGTGTCTTAAGAAAGGCAAAAAGGTAACAATAGACAGTAATTACGTTAACGCTTTCGAATTTCTGACAGATGCTTCTAACTTTGCCATTGGTGCCGTACTGTCACAAGGTCCAATAGGATCCGACAAACCAGTCTGCTACGCTTCTCGTACGTTAAACGAAAGCGAAGTTAATTACAGTACAATCGAAATAGAACTTCTCGCCATAGTCTGGGCTACGAAATACTTTAGACCATATTTGTTTGGACGTAAATTTAAAATTTTGACAGACCACAAGCCATTGCAGTGGATGATGAATTTGAAAGAACCAAATTCTCGTCTCACAAGATGGCGAAACTTAGCGAGTATGACTTTACAGTAATTTATAAGAAAGGCAAAAATAACACCAATGCCGATGCTCTCTCACGTATAGAGATTCACAATGAAGACATAAGGATGTTAATGAACGAAATTGACGAACTAAACTCGTTAATAGGCAACCCAAGAGAAGGTATTGCGAACTCTTCGACTGAGACCGTACACACCAGTAATGAACACCCTATACTTGAGATTCCTATAACTGACGAACCACTCAATAAGTTAAATAGACAGATTCACTTGACTGTTGTTAGCGACGTTAAACGAAAAACCATTGTGACTAAACCCTTCGATACCCATACACGTGTTAGCATTCAACTATCGGAAAATAGTCTCGAAGAAGACGTCATAAACGCTGTAAAAGAGTATGTCAATCCGAAAATCAAAACAGCTCTTTTACGCCTTTAGTGCACCTACGCATTCGTATGCGGTAGCGAAACAACGAAAAAACTGTAAGTAGTGTGGCAGGTTTTCGCATATGATATGTCTCACTCTAGCACATAGATAGATGAGATAGTTGCGTCCTTGTCAGTATTGTTTCACAAGGACCTGCGAAATGGCCGTTACACAGACGCATACGTTTCGCTAGTGATGTTTCGCATCGCAAAGCGTCAGCTCGCGTTCTGTCGGTGAGGACAGATTTTCGCGCCATGGATGCCGAAAATACTGAATTATTTTTGCATTCTATTCGCGATTATCCCGTATTATACGCAATTGGACACGCAGATTATAAAAATACGTACAAAAAAGAGGTAGCATGGAGAAAACTTCAAGAAAAGACTCGGATAGATGGTAAGAAATTTATTGTTTATATTTCATACAGGCATACATTTTATGTTTTTAATTTTCTTTGAAGTAATTTACAAATTGTGATCGAACATTAAACGCTGCAAGTCTGCTCTATGTCTTTTCGCATGCATTGGTACGAATGGTCCTAAAGTTTCCAAAAATTGTTTATTTTCGTATGTGTGTGCACCTTCTTGTACCGGGTGTCCGGTGGCAGAATTAGGATTTAAATTTCGAACTGTTTTCGAACCGTTAGCGGAGGGGCGGGCGGGGGGGTCACGTTCGATTCGTCATTCGTGCGGGTTCCTTAGTCACGATGTCGCAGTGGACGGGTGAACAACGTGCGTTCGCAATCGAAGCTTATTTTAAAGCAAACGATTCCTGTGCTATTGCTCGTCGAAGATTTTGTTCGCGGTACAATATCCGACGGTTACGTGATGCGCCAAGCGAAAATTTGATTCGATTGTGGGTGCGGAGGTTCAGAAAAACAAGTTCAGCAGCAAATAATCCGCGGCCGGGATCCAGCAGAACGTCGAGGACTGATGACAACATCGAACTTGTCGCAAACAGTTTACGCGATAACCCGCGACAGTCCGTGCGTAAGAGAGCGGCTGCTCTAGGGCTCCCAAAAACGATTGTGCACGAAATATTGAAAAAGGACCTTAAACTTCACCCCTTTAAAATTCAAATTGTGCAAGCGCTTAAGCCTAATGATTACAATTGGCGCAAAAGTTTCTGCGAAACAATGTTGCAGCGATTTCGTACAGTGAACACAATCTTTTGGAGCGATGAAGCCCATTTTCATTTAAATGGAAGTGTAAATAAACAGAACTGCCGTTATTGGTCACCTAAAGGACAGAACCCGCGATTGAAACATCAACAGCCACTTCACAGTCCCAAAGTGACGGTTTGGTGTGCATTGTCAAGCAGAGGAATAATCGGACCCTATTTTTTTGAAAATCGTCAAGGACAAGCCATTACTGTAACCGGCGTTTCTTATCGGCGAATGCTTAACGATTTTTTCCTGCCAATATTAAGAGAACATCCTGCCTACAGTTCACAGACATGGTTTCAGCAAGATGGCGCCACGCCTCACACTGCTAGAGAGACCATGGCGCTTCTTCGTGATTTGTTCCCTAACAAATTGATAAGCCGTTTTGCTGACATCCCCTGGCCACCCAGGTCGCCGGATCTTACCCCCATGGACTTTTTTCTGTGGGGGTACCTCAAAAGTAAAGTTTATGAAACCGCCCCACCGACCATCTCAGCATTAAAAGAAAATATCGTTCGCGAGGTTAATGGCATCCCGACGTCCCTTCTCCAGCGAGTGGCGCGCAATACTGAAGCCAGATTCCAAGAGTGTGTCCGACGTGATGGTCAACATTTAGACGAAATAATTTTTAAGAAATAAAACCCGCACTTCCCTTCTTTGTTATAGTCATTGAAATAAAAAAAAATATTTTGCAGTTTTTTTTATTATTTAATTTTGAAATCCTAATTCTGCCACCGGACACCCGGTATCTGCAATAAGTTATGCAAGCATACTGCAGCTTTAACAATTTTAATAGTATTATTCAAATCTGTTTCAAAGGGCCTCAAAAAATATTCTAAATTTTTGTGCTAAAATGCCAAACGCACATTCTACTACTACTCGTGCCCTACTTAATGATTTATTAAATCTTTTTTTTATCATTGTCATTCTTTGCTGCGTCTCTAGTGAAAGGTCTCATTAGAAAAGGTTTCTAATTTAAATCCTCCATCTGCAATGAATACATGTGGTGTAGTCTGTTGGAAACCTGGCAAAGGTTTTGGAGCTGGCAAATTCAGATCCCGTCCACTTTTTAAAAGCTGATAAAATGATGAGTTCTCAAATATTGTACTATCGGAATCTTTACCATATGATCCTACATCTATGTAAGTAAATTTGTAATGTGGATCAACTATTGCCAATAACACAGTAGAATCGTTTTTTATAGCAATAGAACAGTGAGCCGCTGTTAGGTGGACATTTAATAACAATATGCTTGCCGTCAATACTCCCGAGGCAATTAGGAAAACCCCATATTGTTTGAAATGCTTCAGCTATTTCCAACCATGTTTTAGTAGAAGGAACCGGGATGTACTCTGGCTGTAGTATCTTCCAAATTTGTTCGCATACTTGAGTTACTATCTTTGAAACGGTGCATTCACCCAAACGATAAGAGAAAGATATTGTTGTGTATGTGTCACCAGTTGCTAAAAACCTGAAATATTGTTACAGTTAAAACTATGAAAAATAAATGGAGAAACCTAAGGGACACATAAAAAATATAAACAGGGTCAGCAAACAAGCAGTGGACAAGCCGCGAAGAAGCTTGCTAATTGGCAATGGGCTGAACAGATGTCGTTCATAGATTCATCCACAAACTTGAGACAAACTGAAAGTACACTGGATACCAGTACTATATCTATAGAGAATGATTATGAAAATTCTACAGAAGCCGAACAGGTTTCAAATAATGAACAGAACGAGCTCGTCGTTCAAGAACTGGAGACAGCACGGTCTACAGCTGAAACTACAGCTGAAACTGCAACTGAAGTATCCCGGAGAAGACGACGTAGTAAGCAACGACGATCCTGCTGAGAAGATTATAAATTATTTAAAGACTCGATAAAATCGGGTACTACGGACAGAAACGCTACAGAAAATCTTGTCAAAATACCGTGTGATCGAATGGACATGGATTTTTTAGGTTATGCCCATACTGTAAAGAAATTTTCTCTACGAAAGCAAGCTATTATTAAACTTCAAATAACACAAATTATAACTGAGGCTCAACTTGAAGAATTGAATAATAGCCGGCCAAATTCTAATTCAGCAATTCTTCATCCTCTAGTACTCCCAATTTTTACTACGTCGATAACGACTGGAACATTTCAAGATCGACACCATCTGAAAAACTGCAAACACATTCCATCCCAGACACTCAAAATGTTTCAACTGCACAGATACACATACCTAATACTCAAACACATTCTTTCCCAGACACTCAAAACGTTTCAACTGCACAGATACATATACCTAACACGCAAACACATTCAATCCCAGACACTCAAAACGTTTTAACTCCTACACTGGTACACATACCCAGTGGCAGAAGAATTACACACACCCAAGTATCACGACAACAAAAAAACGAGAACACAACACGACATCAAAAAAATATACATGAATTTATTTGTAATTGGAATGAACCGTGAATACATACTTAAACATTACCTATAAGTAATAAATTTTCTTACCTTAAACAAAGTGCCAGTCTTTCTTTTGTTGGAATAGCCTCTCTGTAGTTTGTATTTTTCTTTTTAATATGAGGTTCAAGAAGATTGTGTAAATATTCAAAAGTTTCTGGCTTCATTCTGAAATAGGTATAGAAACGATCTTCATGTGATTGAAGTTTACTTTCTCAAAGTTTCCGTCGTTTCTGATTTATTTTATGCACCCAGATTCTACGCTTTGTCTTTAGTACTGACACCAGCAATAACAATTCTTCTTCTTCAGAATCTGAAAGCGATGACTGAGATGACATTCTGAAATTACGTCTGCACCTGCAGTCGTCGAAAATTACAATGGCATATCATTGCGAAAAAGTTGCGAAAACATTGCTGTGTACTAACGTTCCGCAGATATTTCGCTACGCAGTAGTTCCGCAGAGACTCGCTGCCGCATACGAATGCGTAGGTGTACTAACGCCTTAAATAAACCCACCTTTAGCTTTATATAAAGTAATACCAATCTTACAGGATAAATTTAAAAGCTCTTCACTTAACCTTGTTTTAACTAAATTCGAGTTAGAGAATGTTAAGGAATATTTGCGACAACAAGAAATTATTCGTCACTATCACGACGGTAAAACCAACCACCGTGGTATTAATGAGTGTTACCTAGCATTATCTCGCAAATACTATTGGCCAAAAATGAAAGACCATATTACAAAATTTATTAACGAGTGTACCATCTGCAGACAGGCCAAATATGATAGAAACCCAGTAAGACCTCAATTTAATGTAGTACCACCTGCAACCAAACCCTTTGAAATAATTCACATGGACCTCTTTACAGTTCAAAGTGAAAAATATGTAACTTTTATAGACGTTTTTACAACATACGGACAAGCTTACCATTTACGCGACGGAACCGCTATTAGTATATTACAGGCCCTTCTACAATATTGTACCCATCACGGTGTTCCCCTAACAATAATTACTGACAACGGAACAGAGTTCACTAACCAATTATTCTTAGAATTTACTAGACTCCATAAGATAAATCACCATCGTATTTTAGCCCATTCTCCTAACAATAACGGTAATATTGAAAGGTTTCATTCGACCCTTTTGAAGCATATTAGAATTTTAAAATTACAACATAAGGACGAACCGGTCATCAATCTCATGCCTTACGCAATAATAGCCTACAATAGCTCAATACACAGTTTTACTGGATGTCGACCATTTGACTTATTAACGGGACACTTTAACCATAGAGACTGTCTCGACATCGACATAACCCAGAAACTACTACAGCAGTATGTACAGACGCATAGGGATCAAATGAAAAAGGTGTACGAAATTATTAATAGCACGTCACTAGCCAATCGCACAGCCATTATAGAGAGTAAGAGTAAGGACCGCGAACCGGAAATAGAATACGCGCCACAGCAGCAAGTTTTTATTAAAAATCCGTCTGCTGCCCGCCAGAAAACCGCACCACGTTATACTCAGGACACTGTATTAGCCGATTTACCCATTCATATACAGTGTGTCTGGTCACGACCTAGCGATAATTTAAAGTTACAAAATATACCTAATTTCATCGACGAAAACACCCATATATTGGGGTCTACGCCCCCTCCTGTCGGAATGGCCGCCATTTAATTTTTTTTTTTATTCTTGTACATACCTCTGCCAAAAGATGCAGATTTCTCTGGACAGAGGTCCTACAGATGTAAAAAAAATGTTATTTAAAAGGTAAAAATAGCATCTATCAAATAAAAATAAATATCACGGAAAGTTTTCCCTACAAAATATCTTAAAACATTTACAATGCTAATTTAAGTAAAAAAAAATTGACTATTTTTTTTTTCTTAACATATTTCAAAAACTAGCACATTGATACTAAATTTTTTAATACTGCCCTAATACTTAAGGATATTACTTACAAATTGACATTAAAATTATTGTTCTTAATTGCATAACTCGAGAGTTAGGGCTGTTTGAATATGACCCTTTTGCGAGGGTCATGTATGTAGAGCCTCATATGAGCGCTATTAATTTTCGATAATGGATTAAATAAAAATACACTATAACTTTTAAGAAACTTTTAATGGCATTAAGTACTATTATTAATTTAATAATTGTTCAAAATGTCCACCTCTATTCTGTAGACAGGCTACTGACCTTGCAGCCATTTGTTGTGTGGCCCTTGATATTAAGACTATGTCGGATCTTATGTCATTCGCAATCGTCATTATTTTGTCGAGCAGTTCTTGTCTGCTATTTGGGACTGTAGTATAAACCCTCTGCTTCATCCATCCCCATAAAAAATAATCCAGAGGTGTTAAATCCGGAGAGCGAGGTGGCCAAGCTACCGTTCCACCACGTCCTATCCATGGTGAATAATTTTCATTAAGAAAAGCTCTCACAGCACGTGCGTAGTGAGCTGGTGCACCGTCCAACTGTAGCCACATGCGCCTTCGGTTGATCACTGGTAATTCCTCCATGATTTCTCTAAATGTGTTCCTTAGAAAATCTAAAAATCTTAGGCCATTCATTGTATTTGGTAATTCAATTGGTCCAATTAATTTGTCATCAATCATAGCCGCCCACACATTTACTGAAAATTCATGTTGAAATTTACTGGGCCTTACTGCATTTGGATTTTCTTGCATCCATAAATGCTGGTTTCTATGGTTTGGTAGTGAGCTGGTGCACCGTCCAACTGTAGCCACATACGCCTTCGGTTGATCACTGGTAATTCCTCCATGATTTCTCTAAATGTGTTCCTTAGAAAATCTAAAAATCTTAGGCCATTCATTGTATTTGGTAATTCAATTGGTCCAATTAATTTGTCATCAATCATAGCCGCCCACACATTTACTGAAAATTCATGTTGAAATTTACTGGGCCTTACTGCATTTGGATTTTCTTGCATCCATAAATGCTGGTTTCTATGGTTTATAATACCAGCTCTTGTAAAAGTCGCCTCATCGGTCCACATGATTTTTTTACAATATGTCGGTTGACGATCGCACACAACCGTTGAGCCACGAGCAAAAAGTGGCTCGCACAGCATAGTCTGGCTCTCGAATATCTTGTACGCGACGAAAATGGTACGGATGCATGCCTTCGCGTTTTAAAATTTTCCACACAACCCATTTTGACAAATGCAGCATCATTGCTATTCGCCTTACACTGAGCCTGGGATCTCGGTAAATTAATTGAAGAATTTCTTCTTCTGCTTGCACTGACACTATGCGGGAGCGTTCATTTGGCAGCCTTTGGATGCCATATTGCGACAATCTTAAGTGAATGTCAACAAAAGTTTGTCGACTGGGTGTAGGCCGGTCGGGATACCTCTGACGATACATTCGTACGGCGGCAGCAGCGCTTCCATTACATCTGCCATACATGAAATGCATGTCAGCTATGTGATGAGACGAATAGTTAGACATGTTTTTATCCGAAAAGCACGTAGTCCTGCAAACTACAACAAACTCGGCAGAATATCTCGGTGAAGGAATAGCTCAGAAAACGGAACGGAATAGTAGCGATCGCAACGCAGAGCGGAGGACAACTGATCTAACAAACATTTATCTTCGATACCTGCGCTGGTCAAACATGATTTTTTGTCCTACTTATTCATCGCCTAACAATAATACAAATCATTTTCCGTCCTTGTCACATAAACCCTATTCAATGTAGTAGGTAGCTCTACATGGGTTTGGGACCGTCGCAAAAGGGTCATATTCAAACAGCCCTAACTCTCGAGTTATGCAATTAAGAACAATAATTTTAATGTCAATTTGTAAGTAATATCTTTAAGTATTAGTACAGTATTAAAAAAATTAGTATCAATGTGATAAAGTACGTTAAGAAAAATAAAAGAAATAGTCAATTTTTTTCACTTAAATTAGCATTGTAAATGTTTTAAGATATTTTGTAAGGAAAACTTTCCATGATTTTTATTTTTATTTGATAGATGCTATTTTTACCTTTTAAATAACATTTTTTTTACATCTGTAGGACCTTCCTGTCGAGAGAAATCTGCATCCTTTGGCAGAGGTATCTACAAGAATAAAAAAAATTAAATGGCGGCCATTCCGACAGGAGGGGGCGTAGACCCCAATATATGGGTGTTTTCGTCGATGAAATTAGGTATATTTTGTAACCTTAAATTATCGCTAGGTCGTGACCAGACACACTGTATATACATCTAAAAAACGTGGTCCAGTAGCAAAATCACGGCTCAAGCGTATTCCTAAAGCAGTTAATTTGTTGCAGGATACTGCTAATAATGCTCCTTCAAAGGACCCAGACGACAGAGATAAAACTTGAAAGTCTATCAGACGGACCAGGACTACT